TCTGGTCTCCCCTTCTGTAACCTAGACCCAGAGAAACCGACCTTGTTTTTTTACTTTTCAGTGTTATTTTCTCTCAAGGACTTCCCCAACTCCACTCTCAGTTACTTGGCAATTAGTCTGCCGGGTTGTTGTTGTTTTTGCTTTTTGTTACTATGGTTTACCTTTTATACCCTGGTTATTTGTTTAATGTCTACATGTGTAAGCTCTTTGAGATTGGGGGATGTCTGTATTGGTAATTACTGTAAACAGTGTTGAATCTAATAATCCCTGGCACATAATGGACCATCATGAATATTTATTGAGTGAATGAGTGAATGATAAATCTTATTATCTACTGCTTCGTAGCCCCTGAATTTCTTGGGACAACATTAGCCATCAAGAAATGAATGCATCCCTGATATTCTGAAGTAGCCTTTACAGTAATAGATATATGTGTGTCTATGCGTATACATATAGCCTTTAGAGTGTTCTGTAGACATATACTTGTTTCTGTGAGGTATATGTAGACATATACTGCCTCTGTAGTGTGTCCCCATTGCTGGCCTCACCGCCTTATCTGTGATCCTCCCAAGTAAAGTTTGAACTGCCATGTAACCAGGTAACCCCAAGGCTATCCTACAATTTTGGTGAAAGTATGTCCAAGATTTTTTTTGTTCTGTTTTGGGGTTTGTTTATTTGTTTGTTTTGCAAGATGTAGTAGTTAAACATTTTTTAATCAACATTTTCTATTTACCCTTTTTTTCTATTAAACTCAATTATGATTAGAGTTGTGAAAATGCAATGTGTATATTGCAAGATTCTGAAAATGCTCACACTGGGTGGTATCCATCGTGAAGATGTGATCAACTTTGTCATGTTAAATTTGATCATAAAACAGCAAGCTTTCTGGATCATTATCTTCTCTGCCCTCTAGAAATGCCTTTCTCTCTGTTAAGTTTTAGAAATATGTCACAAAGTTAGGGAAATTGATATAACTTTGTATCTGTGTCTTATGAGGCCATCGTTAAAGATACTACAATAAGGACTCATTCCCTGCATTTCCTTAGGAGATGAGATCTGCAAGGACCTTGTAGAGTATTACGGGGCAGTGAAAACTCAGCCATTTCATTTCTACTTTCCCCCTAATTGCTTAAAAACGCCTTCTGCAGCATGTTATGTTTCAGTGCTGCAGAGACAGCAGTCACTGGGTTCATGGTAGCATCTATTTCACTCTTTTTTGCAACCTTGCATAGAGTTATTCTATGACCATACGTATACCTGGGCCTGTTGATCACGTATCAGCTTTCTGACAGCACTGAAGGCGGGTGTCCATAGAAGCGTCCCAGTGCCCAGCAAGCATGCATTTTTGTCTGTTTCAGGTTTTGTACACTACCTAGAACCCTCTATTTAGTGCTCAGTGGAGGAAGGAAGGAAGTTAGAGTCTTCCTTGCCTAGGGGTGCCATAACAAAGCATCCGAAATTAGGTGGTTTTACAGAACAGACATCTGTTTTGTTTCCGAGTTCTCGAGTCTGGGAGTCCAGATCAGGGACTGGGCTAACTCATTCCCTTCTGAGAGTGCTGAAAAAGGAACAGCTCCATGGCTGGCTGTCTGCTAGCATTGCTGCACATGAGACCTGATGTGTGTGTGTGTGTGTGTGTGTGTGTGTGTGTGTGTGTGTGTGTGTGTGAAGACTCTGGTATGACTTCATTAATCTAACATCTGCAAAGAAATGCATTATTTTCCCGGACAAAGTTGCATTCACTGGTACATATTTTCGGGGGTGCACAGTTCAATCTACAACAAGTACTATGCATCTTAATTAATACATGTATAATTATAATATTACTATGCATGTTTATAAAGTGGTACTACCTTGTTAATTTTGGTGTGAGTGTGTAGTGAAAGGTTTTGAGGGGTGGGGTTTCTTTGTATCCTGAATTGGGCCAAGGGTTACAGTGCAGAGCAGTTTTCCACTTAAGCAATTCATTGACATTGTGTTTCCTGTCATCGATTGCATCCCTCACAGTGTAATGTTGCTTAGCTGACTTATCTGTGTGTCCTGATTGCCTTCCTCTTTCCTTAACCCCTCTGTACTTTGGCTTTGGGTACATGCTACCACTGTGATCTCAGAGAGTGTTGTTCTTCTTCTTACTGTCCTGTTGATGTTGGGCTGCTAACCAAAAGGCTAGGGGTTCAAACCCACCAGCTGCTCTGCAGGTGAAATATGAGGCCATCTGCTCCCATAAATATGTAAAGGTCTACACTGCCCCTGCAGGGTCACTATGAGTTGGAATCCACTCAAAGGCAGTGGGCTTTTCGTTTGGTCTGCTCCCTCAAAAATGTACAGTCTCAGAAGCCCTAACTACGGTATCTGTGAGTCTGACTCAACTTGATGGCAGTGGGTGATTGTTTTGCTAAAGGCTGAACCATAGACGTGGGTGCATGTCCACACGTGAAGAGTGACTAGTGGCCAGAGCCTCAGGGGCTCCGCCAGTTTCCTAACTGACCAGTAACCAGTAAGGTCGTTTCTATGATTTCGAGCTGTGTTCCACATGCTTTCTCCCGCTCTTTCTAGAACCATCCCATCTTTCTGAGCACCTGGTAGTGGTGGCCAGGCACTGTCTAGGTCTGGCGTCAAGATCATGGTGACTGATATTTCTGTGGTCCATTAGCCTATGGCACTTCTAAAGGTCATCGTTCTTCTTTTGTCCAGACGGGGAGAGACCAGCAGTTCCACGTCAGGTGGCCACTCATGAACTTTTCCGACTCTGGTCTTGTAGCTCTGGCTTCAAATCTAGGGCAGAGATCATTCATTCCTTTGTAATTAGAACAATCACTTTCCCATATCCAGGCGTCTGACTCTGATCACTTCACTGATCCGAGCCTTCATTGGTTTCTCATTCTTATAATATGAGATTCATACACCTTGCGAAGCTTCATAAAACTTTATTGGCTAAACTTTGAGAACCTTCGCCACCGCCGCCACCACGTGCCCCCCCCCCACACACCTCTTTAAAGACTACTGCTGGTGTTTAGTTAAAATTTCAAATAGTAAGTCTTTATGGTTCTTTTCCCACAAAGGGAAAAATACCTCTGTTTCTTGAGGTATGTTCATGGTTCCTATTTAGAGAAAAATATGAGGGGAGGGGCAACTTTGAAAGGTCATGGGAAAATTGAGTTAAAAGATGTTAGAATGTTTGAGCAAACTTTTTGAAGTCCATATAAATGCATATATATGGCTTAAGGGGGAAAAACCCCGTTTTAGTGAAGGATATGCATGATTTAAGGGGAAACCAGCCTATGAACTCGAGCAATGGCTTAGTCTCAGAAGTGTCTCACAGTCAAGTTCTAGTGGAACAGGAGGAGCTCCTCCCCTGAGCGAGAATTCCGGAACCCAGGCTCTCCTAACTTGTCACTCTGCTCTCTTCCACGGACGCTCCCCACCTGCTCGCACCAAACCAGATCCCAGCCCTCTGCCATGGAGTCAGTTCCAGCTCACAGCTAGTCTCTGTCGGGTTCCCAGTACCCACCTGTGCCCATTGGAGCAGACAGCCTCTTCTGGTGGGCTTGAGCCCCAGACCCTGCAGTTTGCAGCCCAATGCCCGCCTGACCGGTGGTGCCACAGGGTTCCTTGCATCAAACCAGGAAGGGGTATGGAAAGGCAATGGGAAATTTGGATGGGCAAAGGCTGGCAAGGGCAGAGCCTGCTTGTCACATCCTGCTGGCTGCGAGTCAGTGATGCAGTCTGCCTAGTGCCAAGGGGAACACACTCTAGCTGTGTCCCCTTGAGGAAGAATATGCCGTATATACTCGAGTATCAGCAGACCCAAATATCAGCCGAGGCACCTAATTTTACCACGAAAACCGCATTAAAAGTGTGCTGAAAAACTCGGCTTATACACGAGTATATAGGGTAGTTTTGTGGTCAGCTTGCCCTTGGGTCACATTTTACAACAGATATTGGGTAGTCTCATCATCGAGTGAGCTTTCTACCTTTGATGTGAGATAGAGCTATACTCTAATACCACCTAATTGACTGTGTTTTATCATTTGTAATTTGGGATCAGAGTGGATGTTCTATCGGGCTCTTAGGTAATATTTGTGAAATTCTTTGAGATAAATCACAATATGAGGCTTGCTCCAACCCCGATGGCACTGTCAGGTAAGCATTGGACTGCCGACCCTGATGTACCAGTTCAAATCCACTATCTGTTCTGTGAGAGAGAGATGAGGCCGTCTGCCCTGATAAAGACGCACTGCCTCAAACCACTGCGTGGAGTTTTCTATGGGCTGGGATCGGTTCAATGGCAGTGAGTTTGTTTTATTTTTCAATGTGAGGCTTGTGTCATCAAACCTTTCAAGGCGACAGTGCAGGCCTGGTAAGAGTGGGCCCCTCAATACATGAGCTACAGCAAGCCTCACCATTGTGTTTGGAGCCTGAAGCATGTTGCCATAGCGGGATAGATTTCCAAGGATATGTGAGTTTCATGGCCCAATTCCCAAGTTGTCAGTTACTGCATCATTGCATAGTCCTCAAAAAACCAGTGCATCATTAAGCTCCGTGTTTGTGATTTAAAAGAGCAACAGAAACAGCAACTGCATTTTGAACTCTGCAGTTTTCCCCATGGAGACTGCTAGTGCCAGAAAGCTCTGTCTCTGTGTGTGCACAGTCTGCAGGTTTGTGATCAATTGCAGTTCGTTTGTAAGTATTTCACTGCTGTCATAGGATAGTGTTGTAGGCTGGCTTCTCTAGAGAGGTAAACCCACTGAAGTTTACGTATGTATATTAATTTAAGAAAAACCTCACTGCCATTGAGTTGAGTTAGACTCATAGAGACCCTACTGGACAGAGTAGAGGAGCCCCTATGGGTTTCCATGGTTGTAATCTTTATGGGAACAAAAGGCTTCATCTTTTCCCCAAGGAGTGGCTGGTGGCTTTGAACTGCTAACCTTGTGGTTATCAGTGCAACTCATAGCCCATTATGCCACCAGAGCTCCTTTTATTATATATATGAACAGGTTGATATTAAAGAAGTGGCTCACGCTTTTGTAAAGGTAGGCAAGTTTCAAGTCTGTGGGTCCAGTGTCAGAATGGAGGCTTCTTCAGGGGTTGATGATCCTAAGATCTACAAGTCAGACGGCAGGATTCTGGCTGCAGAGCAAATGGATCCAGCAGGTAAACAGATGGCAGGCTGCTGATGACCCCCAAGGTCACCAGACAATTTGGCAGGCCATTGGTTCAGGTCTAAAGGTCCAGAGAGTAGGGAAAGAGCCAGATGCAGATCCAGCCCCTGCAGAAAAGCAAGCATTTTCCATAGCATCCACCTATGTTGGAAGCAAGGTGTATTACCCCAGAGGAAACTTACTTTCAGTGGCTTGGATCAGGGCTATAATCTATGTAAGAGGATTGCATCCCTCCCTAATCTTTTCACAACTGGTTGGTTACTCACAGCAGATCCCGTTATTGAGGCAATTCCATTGTGTAGGTCACATCGAGGGGGATGACTAGATGTTAACTGTCAAATCACTGAGAATCCTACCCCAACAAAGTGGACAGAAAACCTTCAGTATCATAGCTAGGCATGGTCATCATTGGCTAAATATTTTTATAACTTAGTACTAATAATTTTAATTTTTTTAAGTTCCCCAGGTGGTTTTTTTTTAAATACACCGAATCATCCTTTTGCATTCCCTTTCCATCACTTTACACTAAGTACACGCAAGCATGCAACCCAGTGTGAAGACGGCCAGGCAGCAGGGGATACACAAGAACGCTTCTGTCTTCTCGTCCTGTTGGTTCACATTTCCAATCACGTGCCTGTGAGCAACTTTTTAAATCTTCCAAGTGCCCTTTTGTCACCTGGCAATCGTAATGCCCACCCTGTTCCTGCCCTGGGGGAATCCTGGTGGTGGTGCAGTTCCATGTTGCACTGCCAGCCACGAGGTCAGCAGCCAATCCCCAGGAGAAAGAGGAGGCTTTCTAGTCCTGGAAAGCGCTCCCATCTCAGAACACCCCCACCCCCACCCCACCTGGGGCAGCGCTGACCTGTCTGTGAGGCCTGCTGGGAGTCAGACTCAATGGCAGTGTTTGGTTTTGGTAATTCATTTCCTCTGCTGTCAAGGTTATTTTAGGGAGTCCCTGCCCACCCGTGTAGTGAGTCCGGGTGATGCAGTGGGTTCAGTGCTGGGCTGCTAGTCACAGCTTGGCAGTTCCAACCCCCCAGCCACTCAGGGAGACAGACAGGAGGCTGCCTGCTCCCACAGAGAGTGACCGTCCTGGAAACCCCACGGAACAGCTCCGCTGTGCTCTGTAGGGTCTGCATGATCCCGAGTCACCTAGGCAGTAGGGTGGTGGGTTTCAATAGAAACATATGCTCACAGCCATAGACTTAAAGGAAGAAGCAAACTTTTAAAAGTGTAGAAATTTTAAAACTTCTTTTCCTCAAGGTCAGTGTCTATTTCTGAAGGAAAATTTTAGAGGAAAACTCTAACGTAAAAAGTAAAAATGGATTACTTGGGTGGAGTAGGAGCAGGGTTTCAGAGAGAACAGGACCTGCTTGCGCTCCTTGGAGTACTTTCCTAGCTTCTTGGGAGAAAGATGGGGCTGTCAGATTTCTAAGATTCACAACCTTAGAAAGCCCAGGTAGGGTCACCCTGAGTTGGGACTGACTTGTTGGCAGTGGCTGAGAGCAGCCCAGTGCACCCAAAGGCAAAGGGAATCATTAGAACATAATTTTCAAGCCAACTAACTATTAAGACCCTAACAGGGGCATTTATTTTGAAGCAGAGGGAGTAGACCTTAGTGATGCAAGGTTTCTATGAGACAGGATTTGATGGAATAGTTGTAGGTTTGGCTTTAATTAGCATTTATGATCACTATTATCACTTTATAGATATTCATTCCAATGTCTTTGTAGCAAGTCAAGCAAGACACCTCTTACATCATATAAATGATAGAAGGCTCAGACTTTTAGGGCAAGGAAGCATTTCATGGGGTTAATAAAAATGAATACAAAATTTAACGTACAAGTGACTAATGTCCTAATTTCTGTGCTGATACATGGGGGTGGGGGAGGGAAAGTTTAAACCTGTCTTCCTTCTTTTGAGAAAAAATTTTCCTCTTTAGCTAGGAGGCAAAGGGCATTTATAGAGGTCTAGATAAAGGCATGTACATATGTAAACATGTTTACATAGGAGGATGGGGAAATTGATCTGTGTGCATATATTTATAGGTATAGTATTAAGCTAGCAAAAGGACATTGGGTCTCCACTCAAGTACTCCCTCAATGCAAGAATACTTTCTTCTATTAAATTGGCATTCTATGATGCTCATCTTCC